TATATATATATATATATATACACATATATATATATAAAAAAGAAAACAAAATTTGAATGAATTTCCTGTCTTCGTTAAAGATAAAATATACTAACGTATATTTATCTTATTCTAGATGCAAAAAGCCTTCGAGAGTGCACAAAAACATAAGGCATAAAATCTGTTTTTTTTTTTGTTTTTGTATTAGACTTTCTCGCTTTCAAATATCAAACATACACTTATCTTATTTTAAATTCCAAAAGTGTATATGTATTACAATTTACTATTAATTTAGTTGAGTTCAGCTAAAAAGAACAAACCTATTAACTAGGATCAAGGACAAGCACGGAAAAGACGTTTGTATACATACAGTGACGTATAGACCGTTATTTACATATAGACTGTTATTTCGACAGTGTGTATATTTTTATTGTGTTTTTAATTAAAATTTAAAAATCATCAAAGATCGACGATCTTTTCTCATACGAAACACTTCGATTCTTTCTTCATGATTGTTTCTGTATTGAGGTAATTAGTAAAATTGTGATAATTTGATACTTAAGATCTAACCTAAAATATAATTACTGAACAATATATACAATTACTTTTATATTTTTGCTATACATACATATACAAACGGTAAATTCGAAATTATTTGTTTGCTTTTAACAAAGTTGTGTAAAAATGTTAAAGGTACACAGAACATTTGAAATGATAGATTCACAGGACGTTAGTAAAGAGGAATTAGAAGTATTGAAAGGCGATGCTGTGGGTAACAATCTCTGTAGTAGCAAATGGATAATTAATACTTTGATGTCTCTACTTAAGGTAATTTCTTATACAAAAATTATCCTGATAATTATAATATATGCCTTAGTGCAGAGGAAATAGTGTGAGCAATGCTTAAAATGGAGCATGTAAACATACACAGAAAATACAACCGAGCATGATATTCATAATAATAGTGATATATTTCAGGTTGATGAAAATGGCTGGACAGAAGAGCTTGAAAATCAGCTTTGTACTCTTTGGGATTTAAGTACGGAAGGAGAAGTAGTGTCATATCTTTTGTCACAGAATTTTCTTCAGATAGCGAAGTACTTGTTAACAATTTGTGACGAACCAAGATTCATTGTACGATTCATTTATCTTTATCATAACGTTTTTGATTTAATTCTACTTTAACAACAATTTTTTATCTCTCTCTTTCTATCTCTATCTCTCTCTGTTTCTCTCTCACTCTTGCTCTCGCTCTCTCATTATCAAAATATATTTGTAGGAAATAGTCTTAGGTATTATTGGCAATGTATGCTGTAATGATGAAGCCATCGATGCAGTAGGATGCGATCAAGAATTAATTAAACAAATCCTGAGCCATCTTGAATCCAGTGACTCATTAATATTGATTCAACTTATCAGGATCTTACAATTAATTGCATGGAAAATCCGGCAAAATCCTCAATCAAATTGGGTAGCTCATCTTACGAAATGTGAATTTTTTGGAGCTACTATAATTTTTATATTAAAGAGTTCAACTAATGGTATGCATCGTATTATGTTGTAGAAGAATCCTAGTTAATACGATCTTAAAATCTTTTTTTATTGCAGATAATTTATTAATAACCACAATGAATTTGCTTGAGTTTATATCTCAGATAAATTTGCTAAAAAAACTGTTTAAAATAAACGACTTGATTCCCGCCCTGTTAGAATCGTTTGCACAAGTATTACCTGAGGGAAAAACGAGTCTCTCCGAATTAACTTTTGTCCAACATTGGCTGGCAGTACTAATTGTCGTAATGGAGTCTGGCTCACTTACATTCGAGGACTATGAGAATGACGAAAGGTTTTTGAAGCTGATGGATATTATATACAGGATATTAAAACCATATAACAAGTCGTACAATTTGTATCCAATTCAGCAACAAAGTGCTAACATAATTTACGATGCTATGCGAGTATTATTAAGTTTTCGTCGTTGCAACGTAAATATCCCAACAAGGATAGATTATATTATCGCGATTTTAATTTTCTCCCTAAAAACGGGTAGGTAATTTTATTTTTTAACATTGTGAATAGTGCACGTGCGATTATTTTTTTGTCTAATAATGTATATTATAGTTTTAGAAGCAAACGAGGAAAAAAAGATGCGAGAATTAGATCCCAATGAGCTAAATGATCTTTTAGATTATATTATTAAATACTGGTTGTATATCATTGAATCTTGTACTAGTGAACAAATTGTGGAAATATTAGATTTATGTGATAATGAGGTTCGTGAATGTTTAATAAGTTTTGCTCAATCTAAAATGATATCTGAGATGCTTGACAAAGTGAAAAAAGTTGTTACTGTTTTTGAAAAGAGTTAAAAAAGATATTTTTTAGTGTGATATAATAAAAATATGAATTATTGCTTTATTTTTCTTATATAATATTGTAATATATTGTATAAAGTTGTTATGTGTGACATATGTATATAATATTATGTACAAAATTGTAGTTATTGAAATCGATGATTTTAATTCAAAACGTAATTATATTAATTATATCGTAATTATATTAAGATTTGATTCTTCCAATTTCTATTTATTTTAGTAATTACAATTTTTTTCATATTTAATATATATATATATATGTGCGCGCGCGCGCGCGCGCGTGTGTGTGTGTGTGTGTGTGTGTGTATATTTTTTTTTTCAGAAATAACGTTCTTATATTTTTATTCCATAAATTCCATACTAGTTCTTAGGAATTATTAAGATAAAAAATTACGTGCATCACATGTAAAATTAATTGATTGTACTTTTATTGTTTTGTATTTACTGAGTTTTTTATAAACTTTTATCATCGAACTATTATATCTACATTTTCTCAAATTAATTTGGAATCGATAAGAATTTTAACTAAAAAGAACAGACCTACTGTGACCTAATTCATTGGACTAGTTTAGAATTTTTCGAAAAAGAACAGACCTACTGTGTCGCTTGTTGAAAAAGTACTACATTCTTTTTACGCATGCGTGAAACGAAGGCGACCAATCTACTCTGCGCGTGTGCTTGATTTTAAAACGTGCATACAGATTCAAATGTAGCGCAACTATCCACCGTCGGTTACATCGATTATTAATTCGCTTATATTCTGGGGTATTGTTAAAAATTAGGATTCGATTTGTGAAATGCTGTAAAAGAAATCCTTTCATTTAGATTGCCTTAGGTTTAGTATGGTAAAAAAAGAATATTGACGTGTATGACAACAATCCTTATGTTTCTCTCATAATGATGTTATAATTATGATAAGATTCATCATTTTCCCTGTGCCATCATGAATTGAACTTTTCAATTCGGAGGGAGGGGGCGCCAGATGGTCTATGGAAGAAAAAGTACAGGGGAGAAGAGAACTTTGAGAAACAAACGAACTCAATTTCCCGTTGTTTGATTGCAATTTCTTGCATCTACACCTTCGCGGGAAAATCGATCAATTATTACACGCGACAATTATTCTTCCCCCCCCCCCCCGCGACGAAGGTATATCACCGCGGTGAAGGTAAACGGACGATCTTGCTTCTCCGGATACCCCTCTCGCCATTGCCCCTTGAGACTGTGGAATAGGGTGATGTCGGTCCGACTTCTCAGTGTCGATTGCAAGTGATTGTGAGATTAGTTTCATTGTCACGGTTGGATTCCTCGAGGCTCGAGATGCCTGAAGACGTTATTTCGCAATCCTTGTAAAATACAAATCGAGATTCCTCTCCGCGTATGTGTTTATATGTGCGAGTAGTGTCTCTCTATAAGTGTCTCTCTTTCGCAGAATCCCGGTGACGATTCGCACAATCTTCAGCAACATCATGTCCGCGGAATTGGAAGAGGTCGAATTGGAAAATGGTGATTTTTCATTGATAATTTGAGCGAATTAAATTTAATAGAGATGAAGTTTCTGCTTAAGTGGATCTGTATTACAACCTATCTTCGTCGTGTTAAATTCAATCGAAGTTTTCATTTTTAATTCATTTTAATAAATGTATAATATCTACCTTTTTTGCATAAAATTAAATTTTATTTAACAACAATAAGATAATTAATGCTTAAAAAAAAACAAAAAATATATTGGTAGGTGTATAGTGGATGACATGTCTATTTCTATCCATGTAGGTTAATTTTTATCTCACTTTTTTTTTCATAATTAAAAGTATTTATTTTTATATAAAATATATAGAAAATTAAATAATTCTATGCAGAAAAGTTGTAAAAATTGCAAAGATTTTATTGTCTACAGTTGCGAATTAATTCACAGAATTAAATTGCTTTTTATTTCTACTACTTAGATTAACTTAATCTTGATTCAACTTATTCTTTACTATTTCTTATGTCCATTTCTCTTAATATTAATTAATTTTAATTTCAATTTAATTTACTCTTCATACTTTTCTAATTCTTAGAAAAATATAAAGTTAGTTGAACCGAGATTAAAATTAAACTAAATATATTGGTAGAAATGAGCATAGTGGCACAAATCAACATAAACATCTTTAGATTCTATGAGAAACAAAGTCTGAACGATACTTATGTCAACTTGTGTTATCAAATGGAAAGCACTCATTGTTTTGTAGCTCCTTGTGTCTGAAGTCTTTAACTCATTGCGAATTAAATAGGCATCGCGAGTCTGTTTTTCGCCCTCAGAAGAGTGAAAAGTGACCAGAAACGATCCGTCGTTTTTCCAGTTTTGCAGCAGATATTTATGGATTGCGACGCCTCAATGTCAACCTTGATGCCGGATTTAACGGTTTTGACAGACGATGCGGTGCCGATTTCCAGGATCGTCGAGTACATTCAGGATCAATTGCCGAACTGGTCGTGAGTGCCCGCATAAAACAATGTTAATTTTTTTTTATCAGAGACGCACAAACACGCCGTGCCGTTCGTCGATATTGACGAACGTAAGACATGACGGTGATACAGTTTGAAATAAATTGCCGGTATGTGTACACTAGGCGGCCGATCGATACAAGGACAAACGCGATCGACGACTTGGCGCACGGCTTTAAGCGTAGCACATTTTTGCGAGACGAGATATGGAAAGCCACGTGGAATATAAACCGAGGCGAACCTCGAATATAAACTCGAATATAAATCGCGATTTTCAGTGTGTGAACCGATATTCACCTGTGTTATACAATATGTAGTCCATGTATGTAAATGAATGGCATTCATTTGCACACATCGATTACATACATTTAAGTGCCTGTGCGGTAGCTCGATTTCTGCAAAAAGAATCGTTCTTACAAGTACTGCAGTATAATGTGCCAATTTTGATCAATAGGATCGACAATCTAGAGGAATTATGGAAGTGTTTAGCCGCTGTTTCAACGAAGGATTGCGTGAATTTACAACAATTCAAAGAGGCGACGAAATGCTGGATTACCAAGATTCAACAGGTTCAGTCTGTGGAGCACAGCAATAATAATAATGTCCAGGAGAAACTCTAGTAAGAGGAAGCAGAAACTTTGTTTAATTTAAAGAACACGCATGTGTATAAACGGCATGTAGCGAAATGTACGAATTCGTGAGACTTTGAATAATTCGATGCGGTCGCTACTTGATAATCACAAAATTATTGTTGGAAGGAAGGAGAGATAGACGCACTTTTAAAAGAAACACACTGATTCTTTGTCTTTAATTTAAAACATTGCGCCGTAAATTAAGAAATTGCGACGCGAAACTATTGCGTGGATAATGTAATAGCGCGGAATCCAGTGAACCGTAAACTCGATACATGGAACGCGTCGACCGGGAAAAAGCAACCGCGTGATGTTTAGACTTTAGAGGAATTGATTAATAGTTAACTGAGTTACGTACTCTTCGCGCGAAATGTATTATTAGCGCTGTATCTATTCTTTTCAGCTGAACTTGTACGATTTTTCTTTCTTTTTTTTCTATGGAGAAAAAGAAAAAAATATGAATTATGCAAGAAGTTTAGCTAAAAGAACAGGCCTCGTGTAGTTCTTTTCAGTTGAACTTAAATACGATTTATTTTTCCTTATTTTCCACATTGGAGGAAAAAAGAGCAAAGAAGAATGTTGCAAGTTCATCTAAACAAAACAGGGCTTGTATTCTTGTATAATTTATATTGCGAAAATATATAAATATATAACGTATATTATTGCATGCTGAAATATGAGCTTGTTTTCTGATTTTCGTATGCGATGTTTTTCAAAAATAAAGCCTCACAGGCTTTCTATCGCGGACAAATTCGTTCGGATTCGTTTTCGATCGACATATATAGACTTAGTTTTATCATTATGAAACGCAAACATATAAATTCATACACGTTAACAGTCGCGGCATATATTAATGTGATGGCATCAGATTGTTTTTGGAAGACATCATAAAACTTATATATAGACGGAATATTTTTCTTCGCCCATTCAGTGCAACACGACATTATCGCGTATATACTCGATAAGCAGTTGGACCACTTCGATCGTGCGGTAGTTTAGCTGACTACCTTCATTCAGAGACATTGAAAAAATTATTCGCGTTTCTACGAGCGCGTGATACGTGTAAAACATATATATATATATATATATA